GCTGATCTCCGCATTTTGTCGGGGCAAAGAGAGGTGAAGTCAGTTAGTCTACACATATAAGAATGCAATCCAGAAGTATTTCTATATCCAGAAATGCTTGGCAAGGTTCAACTAAAAAAGGGCCATTCTGGTTTTGAAAATCTGCCGCGCTGCGCCGCTATGTTCCTCTTGTCCCAACTAGGTCAAGCGTCAGTGATTTCCGGAAGGAGGGACGTGAAATAAAACGCGTTGCATTCGTGTCAGCTGTTTATGCTACGCGGATGTCAGTAGCGATTTCTACACTTGCACGAATGCCATAGGCCATTCCTGCACGAATTATGAGCTGAATCCAACTAGCTGGACCATGACTGCTCATATCTGGGTTTTATTAAGGGAATCTTCCACAGAAAAATGACGTTTCTACCTCACCCATAAATCACTAGCTTCGTGACCCATCGTTTACAATAAGAAACGTACTTCACATTGTTATAGCATTCTATTCTATCGATCGATTTATCTCTATTCTCCAAAGCTTTAACCCGATTCTTTCATTGCGTCGCCTGATACGTAGCCGCCCCAAGGCGGACTTCTTTCCATGCCCGCCTTTGGCTCCGCGCCACTTACCTTCGATTGTTCGATTGTCCATTGAGTGTGGTTTTTGTAAGTTTGTTTCTCTTGTAGAAACGAATCTTCGTGCGTGGAACTTTGTATGTTATCTTTAGTAATCAAAACTGACATGCTTATGGGAAAGAATACAAGAATTTTCCGTTAAGAATTTCTGAAGCAAAAGGTTAGCGGATAGAAGATTTCTACTCGCGGAGCAGGAGGAGACCCCGACGATCTGATCGGACAAGAAGATTCAACATCACTACCGTGGATACCGGTTACTCCGTGGAAGTTGACGACCGTCATGCTGCGGGTTCCATCCTTGATTAAATCCATTAATTCAGCAGTTCCGTTTTCGTGTGGATAACCACAACCTAAGCTGAACTGAATGCGTTGATCCCGGCAATGAAGGAATCGGACGGAGAGATGCTGCTACTGCAAACAACTAGGACTGAAACTGGTACGACGACGGAAGGCGAGTCACCGAGGGCAGTGACAAAGGAGAACGAGCGCTTGGGGAGGTGACAGCTGCGAAGAGTGCTTGCAGCTGCAAAAAACGAGTAGTTAAAAAACGACTTATGCGCTGCTTCTCCTTGCGATTACTCGAAGCTTTGGATGAGGTTGCGACGCACCGACAAAAAACGTCGCAATTGACAAGATGTCATGGTACCTCACGAGAGCCTTACAGTCACTGACTCATGTGTGAGGGCGAACATCGAATGGACCACCTTACATGTGATCGAATAATCATCAGACTGGGGGCGGAGTTGGAGGTCTCTGGTTTTCGCGCCAGGGGATAGCCTATGCATGTAAGGGCACTGATCGAACGCAGTGAAAATCTTACACGTAGCTCATGAATTGAGGAAATAATCTCGTAGATAGCACAGCACAGCACTGGAAGGGTGCCAGCCAAAAAGCGACTGTGGCAAAAATCACCGTTGCTTCGCCAAGCTTTTTAACTGGCGCTTTGAAGCCTCTAAAGGTTATCAAAATCAGTAGCTTATCAGATGATTATGTGCACAAAGTCCAAAGTAAAGTTCAGTACCTTTCTGGTCGAAAATCGTCGGCATCTTCTCCCCAGATTTCGCGATTGAAGTGGAGAGTGAGGGTATCGGCACAGACAAAGTCACCTTCATAAAGTGGCACGTCTCCGAGCGTAGTGGATTTCATGCATCGCCTCGAATTGGCACTGAAACCAAGAGGGAAATAACAAATTTTTAAATTATTCACTCGTTATAATAAAGTCATACGAGCCACATCTAGCAATCACAAATTATAGTATCTCTAAAAGCCTCACAAAGCTCCTAATGGGTACATTCGCAGAGATTCTTTGATGACGGCATCCAGGTACTTCAGACTTGCCAGCGTTTCGTAGTTGATGGACTGAAAGATTGCTTTAGTGCATTAAATTTTGTATTTGCATTAAGGCTGGTCACGGTACAGCTATGTGGCCAGAAATTTATGAACAACCGGTTTTTTCATGATTTCTCTTTTGAAAGTTAATGGAAAGTCTCCAAATTTGCAATAATTATTAACTACGTGTTTTGTTATCCACACAGGGAATTTTTAACCTTCAGCTCAAATTTGGTTATAGAAAATTTTAGATTTTTCGAAATTAATGAAGGCAGGTGAAAGATCACTTGATCCGTTTATTTGATTTAAATAATGTATAACCCAACAGAACAGTCAAGTAAACAGTCACTAACATTAAGCAAGTCTAGCACATTGCCCAGAACTCTCTAAAGTATTGGATACATAAACTGGATTTGAATGCGGGGTCAACTAATGAACTCACTCTCTAGTGGGGTCTCTCTCTGTAGTCCCGTCTTTTCGTGGCTCTTTCATTGACATACGAATTTGTAGGTCCTCCCCTAGTGGTTCTGTAATGTTTGGCTCAAGAGTCTGGCCTGGCTGGTCTTTTAAAAGCACCCCATGCTGTCGAAACCACTCCTGCATGTGAGAGGCCCGATGCTTTGAGTCGCTGCTCTGCCGACAGGCAGAGGGTCGGGTGGCCTAAGGATACATGACACCTTCCAAAACATGACAGCAAACGTCTGCCTTCATCGCTACCTCAGTCGTGTAGCGTGGTCCCACTTTTTTCCAAGGCAACCTTATCAAGCCTCCGCCAAGTTTCACAATTGGCAGCTGATTCTTTGGATCAAAACGTTCCCTCTCGTGGTGCCGTACATTACTAGTATCCTTGCTGTCATGCATCAGTAATATGTTTTTGTCATTCCAGATGACCTTAGAAACCTGTATCAACCTTCGTTTCAGGCTTAGTCAATCACATTCTACTCCCACCCACTTCACAGCGAGCGCTCTTCTTAGACTTTGAGAACTAAGGAATACGTAGTATAGACTTAGATTCCATAAAGATGTTATGT